CACTACGTGGACCGAACGGTCCAGCGATTTTGAGATTTTTCACTGTTCAAAGTGCCTAGCCCGTCCGTTCTACAAGCAGACCGTCCGTTCTACAGGGCAGAACGTCCGTTCCACGAGGATAGAGCGAACAATCTGGTTTTCTTCGGACCGTCCGTTTTATAAGGTCCAGAACGGGCGTTCTAGTTAACCAGACCGTCCGTTCTCAGTTATTTTCTAGACCGGACGTTCTGAGTTCTGTGGGATCAGTCGTTCTAGTTTGTTTCTACACGTTCGTTCTGCTGAGTCCCAGAACGGCCGGTCTACGTCCGTAGACCGGACGGTCTGGGACTCAGATCTTCGTCTTCCTCATGAGTTCAGTCCGATATTTCGCCATTTTTGCCCAAATTCTGATCCGATTTAAGATCTAATTGTTACCCACTCAATACTTAACATCCCTAAGTGCTTAACTCTTGCAGAATCACTAGTCTACACCATAAATCATGAAAAATAGAATCTCACAAACACAATCCAAACCACTCACTTCGGATTTCCGTGAGATGCGTTTTTGTCCGAGCTTGTATGAGTTCTACAGATCTTCTTATCCTCCGAAACTTCCTGGGAACCTCCTTGGGGTGTCCCTCTTTGATTTCCCGCCGTCCGTTCTACTGCTGGTCCGTCCGTTCCGCTTCGCGAACGGGCAGTCCGTCCGTTCTACCTGCTGGTCCGTCCGTTCCGCTTCGCGAACGGGCAGTCCGTCCGTTCTACCTCCTGGTCCGTCCGTTCCGCTTCGCGAACGGGCGGTCCGTCCGTTCTACCTCCTGGTCCGTCCGTTCTGTATCGTTTTTTCGTCTTTTTCTCCGTCGTTCGCTAGACCGGTCGGTCTACCTCTGGACCGATCGGTCTACGCCCTATTTCCTTTGTTTTTTCGACGTTTTCGATGCGTTCGAGTCCCGTTGATCCCTTGGTTCGATTCTTATGCCAATCACCTTATATTTTAGACTTGTCTTACCCTATTTTATTCCCGAAGTTAATTTAAATAATTTATACGGGAATCGGGGTATTACAAATCCTCCCCCCTTAAAATGAATTCGTCCTCTAATTCTGAATTGCTTAACATCCATTCGAAAGCCTTCCTTAAATACCATAAAGGTTTATTACAGTACAGTCTCGCTTGTTCGGACGTTTACAACATTTAAACAAACAGATGGGGATAAGTATCACGCATTTCCGCCTCGGGTTCCCATGTCATGTCGGAAACCCCTTGAGATCTCCATACCACTTTGACGAGCGGTATTTCCTTGGTTCGTAGGTTCTTGACTTTCCGGTCCACGATCTGTAGTGGTTCGTCCCGAAAACGCATAGCGCTGGTGAACTCCAATTCTTGCGGTTGTATCACATGGGAAGGATCTGCCACGTACTTCCGTAGCATTGATACGTGGAATATGTCATGCACGTTTCCCAACTCTGATGGTAGTCCAAGACGATACGCTACAGCTCCCACTTTTGCAACCACCGGGTAGGGTCCAATGTATCTCGGCTTTAGTTTCCCACCTTGTCCAAACCTCGCATGCCCTCGCATTGCCTGAACGCGGATGAAAGCTCGGTCTCCTACTTCCAAAGTGAAGTCCCGCCTCCTCTGATCCACATAAGATTTCTGTCTGTCTTGTGCGGTCTTCAGGTTAGCGCGAATCTTCCGAATCACTTCCGTCGTCTCTTCAATGATTTCAGGTCCGAAAGTTCTGCGTTCGCCGATCTCGGTCCAGCATAGTGGCGTCTTGCATGGCCTTCCGTACAGTGCCTCATACGGTGATACCCCAATACTCGCGTGATGACTGTTGTTGTATGCGAATTCACACAACGTCATGCACCGATCCCACAGAACTCCCCACTCTAGTACACATGCTCGGAGCATGTCCTCTAAGGTTTGGATGGTTCGTTCCGACTGCCCGTCAGTCTGGGGGTGATACGCTGTGCTCATCTTAAACTTTGTACCCAACGCTCCCTGTATAGCCTTCCATAGACGAGATGTAAATCGAGCATCTCTATCGGATATGATTTCACTTGGCACCCCATGCAGCCGTATGATCTCATCGACGTATATTTGTGCCAATCGCTCGATCGTGTATTCCTGTCTGATAGGGATGAAGTGAGCGGATTTCGTTAATCGGTCCACAACCACCCAGATGGCATTTTTCTTACTCGGGGTAAGTGGTAGCCCAACCACAAAATCCATCGCAATAGAATCCCATTTCCATTCCGGAATTTCCAATGGTTGTAGTTTGCCACCCGACATCTGTCGTTCCGCTTTCACTTGTTGACAGGTAAGGCACCTTGCTACCAAATCAGCCACATCCCGCTTGATTCCCGGCCAGGTGTACCACCGTCGTAATCCTTGGTACATTTTACTCGCCCCCGGGTGTATAGCTAGTCTAGACTGATGTGCCTCCGATAGTATCTC